AAGTACCTCTGAGCCAAGTCTTCAGTCAGCTTAGCCCACAGAATCAGGGGAAACAACACATCACTGTTGTTTTAAGCTACTACGTTATGCAGTGATTTTTATGCAGCAGTGAGTAAGTGCAACACAGGATATATAAGAGAAAAGGAACAGTGAATTTTGTTTGTATACTTTTGGGATAAACTGATTAGCTGACACCTAGCAAAGCGGTCAGTCTGAAATTCCATCCTCAAGTAAGTTCTCCAGGAATAACAAGTGAAACAATTTTTGTTGTTTACTGCTTCTCAAGAAAACCTTGAAGGTTTACCTATGGAGCATATTTGTGTAATAGCTGCCAGTGTCCTTTTGTGAGCACCTTTGGCGTTGCTTCAAGTTTGTACAGTTTTCCTTATTAGAATTTTATAGAAGAAAATCCAGGGACTGGGAAAAAATCCAACTCAGAGTGGGCCTGAAGAATCTGAACCCTCTTCCGGCCCCCCACAAATTCTTTTCCTCATTTGAAAACAGGATCAGTGGTAGCAGCAGTCTGTCTGTCCAGCCCTTTGGTCAACAGTCAGGGCTACCGAAAAATGGACTGTCTCAAGAAGGCACAAGCCCTTGCAGACAACCCAGGAGCCTGAGTTCCAAATGTGGCAGTGCACTGAGGAGGCCAGGGTGGAGGGGCACTGGAGTCACGGCCCTGGAAATGGGAGCTGCTTTGTGAGGCCAAGTGGTCTGTGGAAATTGGGATCTCTCTGAATGATGGGAAGATGATAAAGACAAAGGACAAAAAACACAAACAAGAGGTTAGCTGGTGACAGAGAAATACAGACAGAAACAGAGGAAAATGGAGTTAAGAGCTGAAATACTCACAGAACAGAATCACACAAAGTTAAACAGAATTAAAATTTATTGGGAAGATAGGGTGAATCCATCACTGGTGACTGGAGCTCGAGGCTGTATGTTCTCCTCAGGAAGCTGGGCTGGAACGGGGTGGGCTGTGTTTGGCAGGGGCTGTGGTGGTTTGGGATCTGAGTAGATGAGCAGAATTAGTTTTTTAAAACTGGCACCTTTCACACCAACCCAGAACTCACCTGTGTGTCCTCTTCAGCTCTGTGTTATCCACTGCTCCGACCTCCCTGGGGTATCCCCGATTTTCTCTACCAGCTCTCACCTGCCTGGCTCCCCAGCTGAGCCTCAGGCCGGTCTCCCCAGAGCAGATGCCTAGGATCGTTGAGGAACCGCTGACTGCGCTGGCATGTTAGGCAGGTCTGTACAGTCCAGCGCTGACCCTTGCAGCCTGGGGTGAATGTGGGAAAAAGAGAGTGCCCAGGTTCAGGAGAAGAAAAGCTCTCTTGCACCCAGTTTTGCTTCCACTGTTTTTTAGTAGGGAGTCTACCCCCTCCCTACTTTGAATCAAATTTGATGGTGTCAGGTCCCTGCATAAACTGTCAATTTCTTTGTACCCTTTAAGATAAAGTCCAAACTCCTTAAGATCTGTCCTGTTTCCCTCTCCAGCCACATGTCTTGCCCTTGCCCACCTCAAATTCCAGCCACCTGAACTCTCATTTCCTTGACAGCACCACAACCTCTCTTGCCTGAGATCTCACAAATGCCTAGGATTTTCATTTCTCACTTCCTTCACTTATAATGAACCTCAGGACCACTGGTTTAAATAACTTAGTATTTTACCCTCCCAATTAAAACATTTTTCTATGCTATTTTAATTGTTTCTTAGTCTGTCCCATCAGACTATAATTTCAAAGAGAATAATGACTAGCGAAATCCTTGATACATCTTAGAAAATTTTTGAAGTAAGGAATGAAGATGGGAATCATGTCCTCATAATGCCAAATAATATCTATTACTATGTGCGGGCGAGGTTGCCTCTCATGGCAACATCATTTCTCTACTGCCCAGACCTAGTTTGTCCAAGTGGAGGTAAACAACTTAACTCACAGCTGGAGAAAGTCGACTCCTCCAAACCCCACACCTAGCAGCCCTCTAAATCCTTGCCTGTCCCCTCTCCAGGGCACTGGTGGCTCCTCAAACATCCCACCTCAGCAGAAGGGAGCACTCACGTCTCTGGCGCTGGGTGCAGGTCAGGCCCGGGATGAGGAGGGAAGAGCAGCCACGACAGAGGGTCCTCTTCACTGAGGGGTCCCTGGGGACGGAGGTGGGTGGTGGTCCGGGGGCCCGCTCTCCCTCTCCGGTTCTTCCCCCGCCCCGCCCACTGCCAGGCTCCACGCCCGTCTCACCTCCGCAAGACGAGCCGCTTCGCGATGGTCCTCTCCGTGTGGCAGTAAAACCTCGCCAGCGCCTGGTTCTCGGGCTCTTGCGCGAGGACGCAGTGGGCGGCCTGAGGGAAGGAGCCGTCACTGGGGGCCGGCCGCACTGGGCCTCCTCCCTGTGCGTGCTCCCCGACGCGGACTCACCTGGTACAGGAAGCTGAGCCTCTGGAAGGCCTCGCGGTCCTTCACCGGTCCCGCCATCCGGGCCAGGCCGCGCCGCGAGAGCCCAACACACGACAGTCCACAGGCTTTATCCCAGGGTGGCCCCTCCTGCGGACGTCCGCGCAAGGCCTTCTGGGAAGTGTAGTTCCTGGGGCCGCGGACACTCCTCGCTCTGGCGCCACCCCGCGGTCTCAAAGATACGTGTTTGCAAACCCACCCCGCGCTCCCGCAATCCAAGCCGGGGGTCCCTTTATGAGTTTTGGATTCCCTCTAGTCTTCCTCAAGACTATGATCATCATATTAGGTAGAGGCTGGAGAGGCTCGTGGAACAGGAGAGCATCTTAAACTACTAACATTTTTCAGGACAGAACATTCTTTATGCAGATAGACTGGGGAGACGGTTATGTGCAATTTATTCCCAGCAAGACTTTCTGCCATAAGCTCCTGAAGCCAAAAGCAGATGTCTGGAAGACCTACAGACTGAAGAAACAGGTTATATATTCCAAAAAATGCACTAGTGCCAGTGGGAGCGAAACTGGAAAGGACATGAGGACGGTGGAGGGATGGAAGAGGGCTCCCGGCCCTCAGAAAGCACAGCTTACTCCCAATCTTTCCCAATTACCAAAGAAAAACACTTCCTGTTATGCAGTGCTGGACACACAGTAGTCAATTCTCACTAACTCCTAGTCTTAGGTACTGGAGCACAGAAACCTGTCAGTAGCATTCCCTGCCCCTGAAAATACATTCCCTCTCCCCCAACATAGACAGATAGTGCTTCACATTCCTCCCTTTGATCTCTGTCTCTCGTTTGCCCTGTTTGGCATCCTGTGTTTACTCCTGCTTCATAGTTAATAACCACTTGTTCCTGAGGTTAGTAGAGAGACAGAACATGAATAGACCTGGAGATGGGGAGAAGGCAGCATAAGTCAAGAGAGGCTGAGGATTTTCTCCTCTTTCAAACCTGTCAGGCTGGGCAGGGACCAAGGCCTCCAGCTTGAAGGAAATGGATGAAATTTCCTCTTGGATTAGTTTCACAAGGGTCCCTAGACTCAAATGAGGAGTATGTTTAAAAGGTAGAAGCCGAGCCCACCCGAGACCTTGATCAACCACTGAGGGTGAGCCCCAGGAACATGCATTTTTAACACCCAGTGATTTTTACATATTAACAGAGGTTATCATCAAATTACCACACGACACAGGTATCACTTCAGTGGATCCTTTGTTCCATATTATGTTTTACCAACCAAAGCATCTTGCCACAAAGAACCACAGTCAAGGCACAAAGGTAAGAGGAGAGTCTGGACAAAGTCCTGTTGAGGTGGTAGGAGGAGCTGAAATGCCCTCAATAAACTGCAGTTTCTTGTCCCAATCTTCTGTGAACCCCTGATTACCCAAGTAGCAGATAATCCAGTCATTTTAGTTTGGTTTGGCATGCATTGCTTTACCTTTTTTTGACAACATATGTACCCTACAGGTTGTTTATTTTGGCCTAACATTAAAATGATTTACATTCTCTGATAGGAGAAATGGCAATAGGTGAAGGATGGCAACAAACAAGCAAAAAACCGGCTCTTGTGAACAGACGTTCCAGGCCAGATGGAACTATATCTGGCCTGTCCCTATACATACCACCCTCTTCTACCCTGTCCCCAGGGTGAGGAAGACTCCATTTTCTTTCTCCCTGTCTGGCTGGGACACCTTGGACAGCTAACAAGGCTGACAACTTGGGAGTAGCTACTTAGTAGCATTCTTTAAGGCCAGGGCTTTGAACAGAAATACTTTTCTCTTTCCTCTAATACCTGACTCTCTCCTTTTCCAAGTTCCCCTGGGAAAGCAGTGAAAGGGTAGACATGTCTTGCAGGATCTCTTGCACCTTGGCTCCCCAGTCGAGCAAGGTAACAGCTCTTGGAGACAAGCAATTACAAAGAGGTGGGCGGTAAGCCAGCTCTGCTGAAGGGACCTGGCTTCTAGCTCTTCTTACCCCCTCCTTCCCACATTCCTACCTCTGGCCAATCCTACTCATAATGGCAACCAAAGAAACCCTTCTCCCCTTCACTAGTCTCTAGGAATCTGTTCCTTTAGCCCACTTTCCTGACTTTCTTTCTAACCTTCTTGATGCCCAATCTCTGCCCTGAAAAAACTCCTCAACTTCTAGACCCACAAGAGCAACTGTCATTCATCTTTATTTCAGTCTAGAGGTACACAGACCCCTGTGATCCTCAAGAAATAAGACTATTCTGGGTCAAAGAACCCCCCCCTAAAGGATGTACAGGGGTTTCTGTTTCCTCCTCTGGTCTGAGCAAGTCAGACCCTTCCACAGACTTGTTTCTGGAAAAGTCTTTCCTTCCTTCCCAACCCGTCCATGTGCAATAGAAAGCCTGATGGACTTCAGGGGAGACGATCCCCTGGGAACCAAGGTCCCCATCCTGACAGGTGGGAGACACAGTGGTGCTCTCATCCCAGCCCAGTCCTACCTACTCCTCCACATAAACCACTCTAAAAACCAAAGTGTTTCTCCCAGACGGTTCAGGACTGGAACCAGGCAGACACAAAGACGTTCCAGCAGGTCACAGGAAGGAAGGCCCATAGCTCTTGACCCTGCCTCACCCCGATTATTCCCATGTCCCTACCTGTCATCACTCCCAATCTGTCGGGGGCCTGATGGTAAGTGGTGCAGCATTCTTCCGACCAGCCCGGATGCCTGGATAGAAGAGGGGCCAAAGTTTCTCAGTAAAAGTATCAGTGAAGGTATAGATATGAGAGCGGTCTGTGACGTTGTAAAAAGATAGTGTGCCGGCCTCATAGTCGAGGAATATGCCCACCCGCTTGGGTTTCACCTTGATGTGCAAAGGGGTAAAAGGCGTGGTGGTGGCTGCATACTTGTCCCCATTCCACAGCCGCACCCGCCAGTAGCCAGTCTCGGGGAGTGGGGTCAGCTCGCCTTTTCGGCTCACGGAGTCCCGGCACACACCAACTGCCCAGTGGGTCTTGTCGCCCACCTCCACCTCCCAGTAGTGTCGACCTGAGGTGAAACCCTCAGTAGCCAGGACGCAAGGGTAGAAGGTGAAGCGCCGTGGTGTGTCAGGGAGATCCCGGAGTCTTGTCTCCACAAACTTGACGCTCTTCCGATCTTCGGACAGGACTAGGTTAGGATGAGCAGTCTCAGGGTCCAGGGTCACGTCCGCTGGCGGGAGAAGCCAGAGTGGGGAGCTAGATGAGGACGGGAACAGCTCAACGCCCCTGCCTCGCTCTTCCAGCCTGCCTTACAGAGCCTGCTCCCTGAAAGCCCCAGAACACCATGGTTTGGTAACTTTCTCAGTCCTCAGTGACACCAGGGGAGGGGAGAGGAGGGAACAATGGCTTCCCTTCTCATCCTGGGTCTAAAATAAACAGATAATGGCCTCTTATCTGCAAGGGCTGGCAGTTTAGGATCCTGCCTGGTCCCCCCTCCACCCCTGGCCACCGTCATCTATCTCGCTGTGTGGAGAAGTAAAAGGCACAGTCCAAGGGTCAGAAAGAATGGAAAACATTAATGATACAGAGCAAGATAGCATTAGCGTCCAGTGATAGGGTGACCATGTGTTCTTTTTCTTGAACAGTCTGGTTTATGACTGCTTTCCCTGAATAAATATTAATGAGACTCTCTTTCACTCTCAAGAGGGGACCAGTTTATGTAAATTATTTAACTTCTCCAGGTCCCTATTCAGAAAAGTGTGGGACTAAGAGCAGATGACACCTAAGACTTCTCACTTTGAGTTCCGTGACTCAAAGTGAGATTGAAAGCCAGGGAAAAGGGTGGGTGTGGGTATGGGCATGAAAAGTGACAGAGGGGATAGATAAAGTAGGACCTAAAGGATTTCTTTTCTCTGCTGATTCCCTCTGCTAGTTTCCTTTTGGGAACAACTCACCAATTAGCTGTTTAAGGATTTTCCTTAGGGCAAAGTACTGTCGGGGGAAATTGCTGAAGTTCTTTTCCAGCTCTATGGATACTGAAGTCACCTCCATGGTCTTCACCTTCTCACATCTAGGAGGGATGGGGAGATAGGGGAAGAAAGGGCAGGGTCAGGGGAAGCTCCAACTGGGTAAGTATTCAGATGTTGTCATCTTTAGGGAGAAACTAAAATTCTCCATCTTCCCACTTTCTTTCTCCTCCCTCAGGACAAGTACTCACTTATTGCTTTCTTTTGTCAATCTATGGAAAGCTATATGGTCTTCTAGACAGACTCTTATCTTAAGAATGAGTCTCAGAACTTTCTGTATGTATTGTTATATTTCATGCTAACTGATAATCACCCTCCCCCTCTGTCAACCCCGTCTTCCTTCCATCTTGTTTGGACACAATTCCACCCACACGCCAGGTAAAAAAATCTGGTTCTACATCATCTTATCTACCTTGCCAAGGAAATCCTGATGGTCAAAGGGGAAATGGTAAGGGACTATTACTCCTGATGATTTCCTCTCTAACTGGCTTCATGGATGCAATAAACCTTCTCCCGTATGCTATCCAGACACTACATGACTTTTCCACCCTTACTCCCCCAACTCATTACTGTACCCCTACTCTTTAAGCCAAGACCTAACTCACTCAAAGAGATATAAGAATCACTTACTTTTCCAGGGTACTTTTGACATCCTAGAGGGAAGGAGAAAAGAAAGCAATATTGGTCCTGGTAGTCAAGGGTCCTTTAGAGGCAAAAGGTTCCCCTCCTCCCAAAAGTTCTAGATCTATTCAATAGGCATAAGGCAAGCTAAGAGTCACAATGTGCAAGGGGTAGAGCTCCAGAGGGATCTGAGTACATCTCTTCCAACCTGACCCCCACTTTCAACTCTCAATTATCATGGACTTTGGTAATGGTATCACTTCCAAATAGTTTCTTGTGTATTTTCTTTGCTCCTCAAGGACATTGGGAGCTCAATGCCTGGGACAGGGATTGTGTCTACTCTTTACTCTGTCCCCCAAGTACCAACCACACACCTGACTCCTTGAGGATCAAACTGCTGGCATAGGAACGAATTACACTCTCCTGTGGTTTGGTATCCCTTGTCTGATATTGGTTAATAAATATTAGTAGCTGTGTGCCAATCGTGATTTGTGAATACTTGGGGTCCAGAAGACAAAGAAGACAAATCTCTGCCCCCCAAGGATTTCTCAGTTTAATGTGGAAGGCAGAACACACATACATGAAAGGACACAAGAATATATACCAAGCAATATATAACATGCAGATAAATGTACAACGAAGCCTCACTGATTCAAATGCTGGTAATCTGATCTCTAAGATAAGAAATACGTTTCGTATAGCCTTGCTAACACATTTCACTTCCTTAGAAGAACAAATTAAACATTTTAGAGGCACCATTTACATATCAAAAGCAATATATTACTTATACATAATTTCAAGTGTCCTTCAAACTATGTTTCTACTCTTTTTGAGCACTAGGCAAATCAAGTTCCAGGACTTAAAAGTAATGGTTACTGCATTTACACAATTTTTAATGCATAGTTTTTTCATTAATTCAGTCTAGGCTGCCCTCCTTTCAAAAGAGTGAACTTTTTCTTTGGTACAAGTTAAGCACATAACTGTTGACAAGACATAAGAACATGGAAATGATTAGAAGGGGATGGGAGAAATCAAAGAAGCCTTTCTGTGGAGAAAGATCCTTTGAGCATGTCTGTAAGAGAGAATCGGATTTAGAGAGTTAGAGCAGAGGAGGGAGCACTGCAGGCTGACAGAATGGTCTGTGCAAAACTAGCCTGCACTTGACCTGAGGGGCTATGCAGGGGCAAAGGTCGAACCTTAAGCATTTCGAAGCCTGACTGTAAGCACTTGCCCTCCACCTCGGCAGCCAAGTGGGCCAGGTCCCGGCGCTTGTCTCCAAGGTGAGCAGCATTTTCTCGAAGGCGCTGTAGAATGTCCTGTTCCTCCTCCTCCAGTCGTGACAGCAACATCTGCTGCTCTTCATCCAGCCGCCGATGAAGCTCTTCAAATTCCTTTAGGATCTGCTGTCGGCGACTCTCTACTAGTCTCTGAGAACAGCGGGAAGGTGTTAAGGTTAATAGG